TCAACGAGAGCTCCCTATTTTCCTTCACCCAGTTTTATATGTGCATCTAGTTTTATATTGGCCTGCTTTGCTTATAACCTTTCCTACTGCGGTTATGTGCGAGATATCCACAACGCATTTTATATATAGGTAAAAGCTGAAGAGATATAGTCTACCTAAAATACAAATTAAAGTGATTTTATAACCTATGTAAGACTTTAATGAGTAAAATTATCTTTATTCTTTCTTAGCTGTAAAAAGTAGCATCATTAGGTTTCAGGAACCCTGAGTCATTATATTCTGTCCCTCTTGTCTTTGCTAATTAATTATTTTGTAACATTATCCTGTTTTTAATTTAATGAAAACATAAGAACTAAATCCTTTGAATTCAAAATAAGGCAAATTCTACCCTTCATTGCCTCACTTGTGATTGCTTTTGACAGATAAAATTATATGATTCAATCATCAGTTATAAGAGATTACAATAAAAACAAGTCTAAAAATTTGGAGGCTACTCAAGAAAGAAAACACTTAATAAAGATGTAAAATGAAGTGTATGAGTTTTCTGGAAGAGTATCTCATGATTATCTCTGTCTAGATTGGAAAATAAATTATTGTAATAGTTTACTTTGTCTCTAAACCTAATTGGAAACTCTGCCTGCATTTAGTTAGTTGGAAACATAGTCCCAGACCAGGACCTGAGTTTACTGTCAAAACAAAAAAAAAAAAAAAGAAAGAAAGAAAAAAAGAACAGAGGCATGTAACATCATGTTTTACTCAGATGCCAGTATGGTTCACTCTCCCAGTGTGCTGGACAATGTCTTAGTTTGTATAGACTGATGATAATACTACTAATATTAGTGTTTTATAGATATGCTAAACCTGATACTTTCTATGATGAAAGGTAAAATTGTGTCTATGACTTGGCCTTCTCAAGGTACTAATGATTCCCCTACATATATTAATTCTTGATTCCCATGCATGTTCTCTCAATCTAATTCCAATGGGCTTGGAATATGCCTTCATATTTTCAGTGGGCCTTTGCAAAAAGATAAGACACATACAATTCCTTTAGTCTGTCTATTTTTTTTTATTTTCCCTGTGTACCCTGATGTTTTAATATCTCTGAGGTAATTTTTATGGGTATTGCCAGCAAATGTAGTACATATGATTCATCTCTAACATGATAAGGCCTATTACTTTATGCCCTGGTATATTTTTAAAATTATACAAGAAAAGCAATTGTAGCAATATATTTACACAGAAGTAAAAGAGAAACAATCATTCTGTTTCATTATAATCACCATTTTCTGAGTTCACTTTTAATTCATACCATAAATATTCTTTTAGGTGTTTTGTTTAAAATTTGAAGCAGCTAGCATTTTCATTGTATCATTGTATTTCTACTAGCATTAAGTCCAAAGAGAACCTCAAAAAAAATAGGAAATATGTCTCATTAGATTTCAGTAAATATTTTCCTAATGGACATTTGTTTTTATCAGAAAATCTGGGCTATGTATATATATATATATCAGATGCATTACAAATATGAAGTAAAATTTGGTTCTTTTGTTCTTAAATGGAATAAATAATTTTAAATTTCTGAGAAATTTGGCATATGGGTGAATTGGTGGTGGGAAGTCTATTGCAATTATAACTGAGATGAAATATGTACAAAATGAAGAATGATCTAAATATATATATATATATTATATATATATATATATATATATATATATAATACATATATAAAATTTTTAAATTACTGAGAAATTTAAAAAACTTTGCTTCTGAGGTTGGAATATAACACACAACTTTATTTTTACACAGAAAGGCATTTTTTAAAGATTCAACAGAAAATAGTTATCCCCACTAAGTATATATGATATATAGTTTTCAGGTGCATTTTCAGTACATTTTAGTAACTTGGGTTCCCTCATGAGGATTCAGGCTCATGTTTGCCCTATCTGTAGTCATGCAAAGCCTTGATGTGTCTAGGTAATCAACATGGTTAACTGTACTGATTAGTGGTGTCTATATAGAGTCTCTAAATAATGTGTGCCTCAAGCAGTTGGTTTTGTTCATGGTGACAGGTTTTCCCCAGTGTGGATTCCATGAGATCTACTCAGAACCCTGTTCCTTTGTATGTGATGAGTCTTTTTTTCTCTTAAAGTTTCAAAATTAAGTTTTGATTATACATCTCATTGTGTCCTTCTTTAGTTTCATCCTATTTGGAATCTGTTGAACATCGTGAGTCTTTCTGAGCATTTCATTCCAAAGATTTGTGGAGTTTTCTTCCTTGTTTTAAGAAGTTTTCTGTCCCTATCTGTCTCTTCTTCTTAGGCTCTCATAATGCATATGTTGGTCTAGTTGATCATGTTACATAAGTCTTTCAGATTTTCTTCATCTGGTTTTTCACTTTTCTTTTTGCTCCTATAACTGGATAGTTTCAAATGACTTGTCTTCAAGATCCCCATTATATCTTCTGCTTGATTAGATCTGCTCTTGTACCCCTCTAGTAAATTTTAACTGCAGTTATTACATTCTTCTACTCCAAAATTAGTTGTTTGTGTTTTTTTGTATTTTCTGTCCCTTTTTTGAAGTTTTCATTTTGTTCATGTATTGCTCTCTGGATATCATTGGCAGTTATTTTTAATAACATGTCAGATAATACCTATGTTTATTTATGGTATATTTCTAGAGATTTCTATTTTAAGTAGGTAATTTTTATTGGTGTTTGTCATTAGTTTGTGTTTGTATCTACACATTTGGAAAAAAAAAAAAAGCCAGTTCTCCCAGTCTATGGACTTGCTTCATACAGGGAAGATCTTCACCAGTCATTGTGGTAGAGCTTCTTGGAGCCTCTAAAATCTTTTCTGTAGATATGAATCTGAACTTGTGTGTGTAGATTACTAATTAAATTTGCCAGTTTCTGTTGTTTTTTTTTTTTTCAGAAGTTCATCATCAAATGGATCTCTTGCTCCCTCTGATGTCTATTTTTGTACTGTGGGCACTCTGAAGCAGCAATACACTGCCCACATCTTTTTCTTTTTTCTTCAGAGTACTCTAGGAATCTAGAGTTAGCCTATTTCTATCAGTTACCTGAAATAGGCTAGACAGAAACCAGAATCTTGACCAAACCACTCTGCATTTAGGTAGAGGCTTCTAAGTATATCAGGTTTTTTTTTTTCTGCTTGATTTTTTATTTTTTAAAGATTTATTTATTTTTGCATACAGAACTGGGGGAACAGGCCAGAGGTGCAGGGGCGGTGAGAGGATTCACCAGAGACAGAGTGGGGAGTAGAACAGGCAGATCAACAAAGTGCACTGCTGAGGGGAGCAGCAGGCTGGTCAGGAGAGGTCTGCCATGCCATGTGGATCACCTGTGGGGCAGGGCTCATATTCATGCTGATGTGGTTTTAGCTTCTTAGTTCTGTGCTTTAACCTGCTGCACCACCAGGGAGGGCCCTTTTCTGCTTTATTATGGGACCTCTTGAAAGGTATTCTCAGATGCTCAAGTATATTTAGAATATGTCAGGTCCCATCAATACTTCAAGTAATCAAGACAGAAGTCAGTCTGTAAGTTAGCTCTCCACTCCCTAAAATCCAAATGTTGGATGTCTTGTCCATTGTTTCCTTCTGGAGGAAGAAATGGGAATTGGAGTGTTCTTATAATGGTGTAGTGCTATGTAGGGGGCAGAGATTATGGTAAGAGCATGACTCAAACTTTCCTATTAACTTCGGTGCAGCTGATTTTGTGCTCACCCGGTGAGCAGAAGTTTCTGAATTTCTCCCTATGGGAATCTATCTATATATTTCTTATCTATAGTATTTCTTGAAGGAAGAAAGGAAACCTGAATCTTTTTATTTTACCATCTTGCTGACATCACTCCTTTGTATATTCTATTTTATACATATTTCATGTATTGAATCATATTTCACTGCCTAGAACTGGTAATTAAATGTTTTAAAACAGCAATCATAATGTTTAAAAACAACAATCATAATGATGATTATACTAATATTGATTAATCCTTATAGGTCACTACTCACATATAAGGCACCAATGTAGTGACTTTAATGGGATCAGTAACATCATTTAACACATAGAAAAACTGAAGTTACAAAAAGGCTAAGTACTTTTTCTGAAGTCTTACTCCTAGGTACAGCTGGGCTCTTAATCCAGACTATACATATTCATAGTCCACTTACACAAATCCTCTGCCCTGATATTCAATACACGTTTGCTCAATGGATCAGTGGGCCCAACCAGAATCTTCTCCTTTGTGTTTCAAAGTTGGATATGTTCTAGGAAACTACATTTTACCTCCTACCTGTGTCTTCCCTGTGAATTTGTATTTTAAATTCCTCTTTTACAAACTTGCATGTACAGTGCTGTCTTCCACCAAGAATTTCCTCAACTGCTTTCCGTCTTTATTTCAAATGTAATCAGCCTTGACATGAAAATGGCCACTTGAATCTCAGATGTCATTGAGTCCACTTCAGATCAAAGTAACTCATCTTCAGGCCCAAGAATGTTTAATGAGCCTGTGAAGTAGTTTCCTCTCACTTAGTGAAGCGAGCGAAGAGCGAGCAAATATCACATTGGCATAGTAGTAAAAACATAGGTTTTATGATAGCTGTTATGGTAGGGCATTTTAGATATGGATTTACTTATAAATGATTGAATTTTCATTTGGGGTATTGAGTCTTTCCAATTTTTATAGGGACAGTATTTTATTCTTTGTACAGTATAAATATGTGATTGAAAAAAATCTTTCTGATTCCATTTTGTCACCCTGGGAAGAATGATGCTCTCCTTCATTTAAAGAAAAATATCTCCTCACTTTCATTCTGTAAGCATTCCATGAAGTAACACGTATTAGACTCACAGCTGCATAGTAGCATTAATGTTTAACTGTGGCTCTACACAGCAGGATGTAAACTCTATCCATCAACTTCTCACCTAGAGATAGGGTAATGAGAAAATCTAATGCTTAATATTTTTATTTTTGTTCCAGAGAAACTGAGCCATTCACTGCATACTTCCTACCTGGCAGTGATCCTGAGTTTTTTGTAAAACCTCGAGCTGGAGAACTTCTTCCTTATGAGTCAGATGGAACTCTCATCACGGTGGGTTTTAAACCCCGAATGTACAGTAAAAAATACAAAGCAACATTAGCAATACAGGTGAGTCTTTTAAAACTAAAGACAAGGACATTTGTTGTCACTAAAGGCATTAAATGAATAAGAATGAAAAGATGTCACCCAATGATTATAGACTAACAACATTGTTTTGCAAAATTCCACATATTTCAAGTGTTCTTTCTTAATTTCCTTTTATTTAGTAAAGAGCTTTTTAATACAAACTGTACCAAAAATGTTACCATCAGTAGTAGAAAATAAGAAATTAATTCCCTTCCATATTAAAAAAATATATAGAAGAGGCAACTAATGACTGCAAAGTGAGTTGCATATTCAGATTTTGGCACACTTGATATTTGTATATTTTATAATAAACTATTTGGGAACTTTAGGTCATCTGAGATGGATATGTTGGAAACTTCAAATAAGGCATAAGGTACTGTCAAAATGCTGAATTCTAAAATGAGGAAAATTAAATAGAAGTTAATTTATTTTGAATTTAAATAAAAGCATCAATATGCAGTTAATATAAGAGTCTGTTAATGTGATTATTGTTATCAAAGGTTAAGGCAAATACAATTTTTAAAATGTATCCAATAATCAAAATTTCTCCAAAAAGTGTCACACATTAATTCTACTAAGAACTTCTAAGCTAAAGACAGCTTTCAAATTATTTCTGAAAAGGTATCTATTCCTGTTGCTTCCAGGCACAAAGGACATGTTTTCGTGTTTCAAGACATAGGTAGCTACTGATGCCAAAATCATTTTAGTGTAGTTCCTACATATCTGTGGTTTTTCTTTCTGGGATTAGTTACCCATAATCAGCTGCAGTCTGAAAATATTACATAGAGTAAAATGTTTTGAAAAGGGGAGAGACCACCTTTGCATAAATTTTATTACTGCACATGATTACAGTTGCATTTTATTATTAGCTATAGTTGTTAATCTGTTACTATGACCAATTTATAAATTAAACTTTACCATAGGTATACATGTGCAAGGGAATAAAAACAGTGTATACTTAGGGTTTGGTACTGTCTGAGGTATCAGGCATCCACAGTAGAACTTGAAATAGATTACCATAGATGGGGGCGTGGATTTAGAATCTGATATACTAGAATTCTCAGTCAGACCCTAGTTAGGAGGGCCATGGACACCTATTTCAGCATTATTTGAATCTTACTTGCAATGCATATAATAACAGAGCATAGTGTCTTTATAGGTAATTATTTTCAAAGGATCTTGGAAATATGCTGTGCAAAGGGAGAGGCCCCTATGTGTAGTTTCCCTTTGTAGCCATTAGGCTTGGAATGGGCATGTATTCCCTTTCATGTAGCTCATCTGTGTGTGCCTATGAAGTGTGTCACTTTTATACTGAGAAATGCACAATCACCAAATTGTCGCTTTGTTTTCCAAATTCAACATCCTTGTATGAAGAAAATTTTATTTAAGCTAGTTGTCGTATAGTTCTAGTTTTGTTCTGCTTTTTACTCCTTTGGTTCTGCATACATAATCATATGGACACTGAATAGAAGGGTCAGTTATGAAAATACAGCCATTCCAGAGGTGCAAGGAATTCCTGCACTTTGATAATTAATTTCCTATACATTCTTTGATAGATATTACTCTAAATATGAAACCCCAATTACTGCTGTATTTACTTGGGCTGGTCATACCTAAATGAGTGTTCTGAACCTGCATGTTGTAAATCTTACTGTGAGGAACAGGAGGAACGGGCCTAGATAAATGTAGGTAGCTCAGGAAATTCTGCAAAAGAAATGTGGTTTAAGTATGACCATTAAAGACAGAAAATGCTACACTGCCTAATTCAATATTGTCATCCAATAGATATATGCAGAAAAAGGATTTTTATAGGTCCTTGAATAAGTCATACTAACTTGGATTTAATTATAATTGCCATTGATGATTTACAACAAGTTCAGTAACTAAAAAGCAAAGTTGATATGTGTATGTAAGTCAGTTCTATGGCCACAAGTCAATTCTCATGTATAAATTTATTTTGTAGGGTATTGTCATAGTTGTAATTCATGCTGGGCAACAATTTCATGAGAACTACATGATTGTTTCCCTTACACCACATGGGTGCTTTGTTCACTCACAGGAGAGACCTCCAACTGGGAGAGATTTTTGTAGTAAATGGTTCTTAATTCATAAAACCAGTTGCTATTCTGGATTTATTTTTCATGTTAATCATGTGTTATTTATTAGTGCAGCTTCAATTTTGTACCTTTTTCCTACCTCACATGGAGAAGTGAGAAGGTGTTAATTTGATAAACATTTTCCTACATTGTCTCAGTCTCTGAATATTTCACATAAAATCTCCCTCTCTCTCTATTTCAAGACTGAAGATATGTACTGGTTGTATGAAATCAATGGGCTACCTCAAGTTACCACGCCACCAGTAAATGTAAAAGCCAAAGTCAATACTACGAACAAGATGATGTCAGATGGCAAGCCAGTTCGCCGCAATTTTGTTCGTGAAAATACTAAAGTCATCAGGACAGGGGTGTCCTCTACCATCAAAGGTGCTCCTTTGATGTTGAAAAATAAATAAAAAATAGTTTTCTCCCAAATATTTTTTGGTTTTAAGTAGAAGTGATCATATTTGCGGGGTTGTTATTTCATCTTTTGAAATATTTCTGAGGATTGTTTCGATTATTATAAGCCTTCTATGTTTTGTTTTTTAATGCTAACTAAGTATATTTTCTGAATATGTTATACCTAATTTCTGAGTTATGTGGGTGTGTTAAGTTAGACTGATTCCAAGTGTCGGGATTGGTTAGTTTTAAGCACAGGAGAGTATCTGTAGTAAAACTGAAAAATTAGTTTGGTAACAATACTATTTCAAATACTGATGTTGCTATTAAAGTTTAATTTCTCAAATGGATGTTTGAGTCTTTAAAATATTAATGATAAAATTAACATATAAGATATAAGGATTCACTGGGTTTTCTATCTGTTATTTTCAGTAGTGTGTGCTATTTACTAAGTAATAAAAATCCCATGCCACAAGTGTATACAGTCTCCTGGTCCTAAAATATACCTATATTTCAGAATGATCCAGGAGAAAGTTTATTACCTCAAAGTAAAAGAGGAGATATTAATTGGTACTTGTCATTGAGGAGACATATAATATTAACCAGCCAGTGCAAAATCATAAATGTGTAGAGGTTTGAACCTATAACCCTTAAAACAAAGACAATGATATAAACCAACTTAACCTCAATGACCATCATTGGAAGGGGAAATAAAACAGAGGGACTTTCTCTTCACTTCTTAACAATCACGCACTGATTAGATAGTTTAGGTTAACATCTCTTTACTTTCAGCGTTGGAAAAGTGCTGTTTCATGTCCTTTTTGCCTTTGGTATATTCTAGCAAGTTCATTGTCATTCTAATTGTTTTTTCCTTCCAGGGAAGGTATCATTTTCCTGTAGCTCTTTCAAGATTTGGCCTTTGTTTTCACTTTTCAAAAGTTTGACTGATGTGTGTTGGTATAAATGTCTTTGGACTTCCACTACTTGGAATGTTACCAACTCTTTAAATCTGCAGATATATGTCTTTGATCAATTTTGGTAGTTTTCCTCCATTCTTTCTTCAAGTACATTTTCAACCCTACCCTGATGACAGGAATATTAGAGTTGTGTTTTAGTCTCACAGATCCCTGAAGCTGTTAATGATTCTACTTTTCTTTGTTATTCAAATTAGATTTTTTTCTCACAGTACATTAATCCTTTTTTCTGTCCTCTGCCCTGTGTTGTTGGGTTTATCCAAGGTGATTTTTTTTTTATTTCAGGTATTGTGCTTTGCAGTTCTAAAATTTCATTTTTATTCTTCCTCATGTCATCCATTTCTTTGCTGAGACATTCTTTTTCTTTGCTGATTCTATTGTTTCAAACATGCTCATAACCACTTGTGGAAATGAGGGTAAGTCCACAACTTTTTTATGGTGCTTGCCTGGAATAGAGAAGTTTTTGTCAAAGTTTCTGTGTGATAGGGCCATTTCTTTGTCCTTTCTCTAAAGAGAATAGGGTTTCCTTGAGAAATCACCTCCATGTTGCTCCTTGAGGTCCAAGCCTGTCTTCTCTATATTTCAGTTATATTTGAATACATGACAGATATTTTGTTTCTTTTTATTGGGCAAAAGGGAGATAAATATGTATAAACCATCTTCCCAGAAAAAAATCTACATTCATTTTCACTTCATTAACTCAGACAAAAATAACATGGATTCTTTCCATTTCCTCTAGCAGCCTTGTCATGCTTTTGAAGTTATTAACATCTCTAATCTAATGGAAGCTGCTTTCACCATGAGTCACAGACCTCTTTGGGATTTTTCTACTATCTGCTTCTATTTTGTCAGTACCAAAAGAAATTCCAAAGTGTAGGTATCTGAGGTTGAGGCCAGTGCCGTCACAGGGCACTCTGCATTAGTGCCCTCCACACACTGGCCTCTCCAGGATTCCCCAGCATTTTCTGTCACGCACTTCTCCATGTCTGGTCATGCCTCTTTCCCACAGCACAGCCTTGGTAACCCCAAACAGCATCTCCCTTCTTTTTGGTAAATAGCTCCAAACTCATGTTATTGGAATCATTGCTGTGAACTTTGTGAAATTATGTGAGCTTTACAGTTCTTTAAAAAAATATTCCATCTCTCCTGATCATAAACTTACTGACAAACATAAAACAGCCAAAGGCTTTGATGAAATGAAGCAAAGAATCAAGCATAATGTTCATAACTCTATAAGAAAAATGACCTGGTTTTGCCTCAGTATTTATTTGCCTCTTAGATATTCAATAATTGCGATTTTTTTCTGAAGTGACTTCTTGCACTAAAATAAATGACTGAAGAGTGTCTTAGTGCTGACACAGATCACAGTTTGTGGCTAATGGAATGTTAACTGCTTTTTAAGTAACTCTGCATAAATCTGCTGATCCATAAAAGATTTATCTAAAAGGAATCCAATTCATTGGCTAGCTCTACCACTTCCACTGACATGAAAAATCTTCCATAGTCTACTTTGTTTCAGGCATTGCAATGTTGAGAATGACACCTGGCTTGTAAAAGGATATTTTAATAGGGAAAAGTGACACATTTAATAATATGTCGAGGTAACCATCTAAGCAACAGACACTCCCCAAGAGAAAATTTATATCTAAGCTTGTTCGTTGGCATAAAAATCATCTTCAGAGTATGTGGGTTTGTTCCATTTCAAAAATTGGGAAGGCAGTGCTAAGAAAGAATTCTGAGATAGCTAAAGACAGACAAAGCCGGAGACTTCAACTTTATCCCTGAGAATGAATTTCCTGGGTGATTTCATATCTGGGACAACCACTCACAGAAGACTGTGCAAAACCTTAGCAAAAGCATAATTCAGCAGCTCAGCAGATGTCTCAGTGGCTTGAATTTCCTCAGTATCTGTTTCCTCCCTACCCTGTGTGCCTCTGTAGGACACTCCATTCCAAGTATAGTTTGGAAACAGGGGCTTCCTCCTGACACAGGAAGGGTCCCAGGATAAGGACAGGAAATGACTCAAGGCACCCAAGTTTTGCTGTGCCCACAGGATTGTAAACAAACGGATCAAAATCTGATGATGCCACGCCTGGACACCTGCTGCCCTAAATTTCCTTTGCTCAATGTTTTGTCATTTGCTTTTTATTTTTTACCATTTCTGAGCTGTCTTTCCACAGCTTATCAAGTTGGCTTCTATGAGAAGAGAGTCACAGGCCATAGACCAAGCTGGTTCAAACTGTGGCCACAGGTACACATGAGATGTTCAGCAGGGAAATGGTCACGTGGCCTCTTCAGCTGCCCAGCTGAGACTGCTGGTGCCCCAAATGAGAACAACGGATGCAGTTTGGCTAAGTCCACTCTCCTTGCTTTCTCAATAAATAAATCATAATCCCTTTGTTCTCAAATCCCTTTCCTAAAACCTGTACAGAACACCTAGCTCTGCCCCTCAGAGAGTTGTTCTCATGCCCAGAGAAGTCATCTCAGAGTTCTCTTTTCTTGTTCTTCCAGTAACCAAAAACTTGCCTGCCCTCACTGGTGTCTGTGACGTCCTCTTTTCAGTCTTGAGCGGAGGGTCTCAAGAGCCCTCTCCTGGCGGGAGGAATGTTTCCCTGGTTCATTCCTCTGATTTCCAGCAGTTGAGGCAGTGAGCAGCAGCTGGTTCTCACCCAGTTTATCTACCTGTTCTATTAGAGGGTGGAGTCTGGCTGGGAGGCTCTCAGACGGCTCCATGTAGGTGACACTTCCAGGTACACATATTATTTGTCATTCTTTGAAACAATTAGATATTCCCTCTGCTAATATGGGATTTATATATGTCCATATATATATATATATGAAAAATAATGAAATGTCATTTCATAAATTTCAAAGATGAATTATTTTATTAAGCAAATCTCTTTTCTTAGATGTATATTATGGTCCTCCCAGAATAGATATACCTAGTAGTTACTTAAAGAATAGCTTACATAGTATTGTATAAATTGTGCGGGCTAAATATATGCAGGCTATAAATAAATTTTTATGTTCTTAACTTCTGTGTTTAAGAATAGAAAATAATGAGTTCCATGACTGAATGGCATTTTGTAATAAGAAGAGATGACACTAAATCTATAGTTCAGCATCACTTCCTCCTAAGCACAATTTTTAAATTACATTGCCCATTTAGGACCTCCAGAAATAAGGTCACCCTGTGAGAGCAAGGTGGTATTCTTGGAAACCAGCCAGTCCAGAAATATCACTTCAACAGAAGCGTTTGGCAGTGTTAGATACAAAATCTTTACTTCTGTGAAAAATATTTTAGAGAGTTATGAAAAATACCCTGGTTACCGGAGGGTGTTTGCGCTGGAGAGTTGGTGGCGAGTGAGTAGTGAGGCATGTCCACACATGGAGGTGTGCGATTGTACTCCCACAATTAGATAGTTGTGCTAGCTATTGAAAGTAATATATTAGTCACAAGTCTGTATGATACCGGTACCCAGATCAAGATAAGATAAAACATATCTAGGTCTCCAGAAAACTCCATTGTGCCTGCTCCTAATTAATTGCGAATGCTGTCTTGATGGACTAGCTGTGGCTGTTTTGAGCCTCTATTTGGAATCCTGTAGTTTGTCCTCTTTTCTGTTTCCTTTCACATAGTATTTTGTCTGTGGGATGGAGCCACACTTTTGCATATATCAGCACTTTTATAGTTGAATCATATCTCATATGACTATCACATGATATAAAGAAGTCAGTGTATTTATCTTTTCCCCTGTGGATAGACATTCATGATGTTCCTAGGTTTGGGTTGTTATGTACAAAGCTTCCAAAAACATTTTTGTTCATGTAATTTGGTTCACACATGTGGAGAGTTCTGTTTTGCCTAATGTCAGGAGTAGAATTACTGGATTTTAGAGTATTTGTTCTTTAGCTGTGTACTAGTTGTTCTGAAAGTGTTTCCCAATTTGGTTTGATCAGTTTACCTTCCAAACATCAAGGTGCAGAGTTCTGGTTTCTTTATATCCCTTGGCAAAATGCGGTGTTATCAATCATGAGGCATC